ATTCCCGGGACCCCACCCAGGAAGATCTCACCATCCCCCACCATGAGAGATGTCCCCGCCCTCTGTATTCCCGGGATCCCACCCAGGAAGATCCCACCCTCCCCCACCATGAGAGATGTCCCCGCCCCCTGTATTCCCGGGATCCCACCCAGGAAGATCTCACCGTCCCCCACCATGATCAGGTAGGCGATGGACAATCTCTGATAGTTGTGATTTATATACCAAACATGTTTGTTACCATAAATATATTTCTATATGCGCAGAGTGGAGACCTCAGGGATGATGCTGATGTTAAAGAAGAGTACAAAGAGGAGGATGAGGAGTACGGTGTGATAGAAGAGCTTTCTGAAGGACATTATGATATGTATTCCCGGGATTCCACCCAGGAAGATCACACCACCCCCGACCATGATGAGGTAGATGATTAATAATTATTGGTAGTGATGATTTATACTCGGTCATGTTTGTTACAATGATTGTTTTGTTTTATATTCAGAGTGAAAACATCGGGGATCACGATATTATTATCAAAGAAGAGTTTAAAGAGGAGGATGAGGAGTACGGTGTGTCGGAGGAGCTTTCTGAAGGACACAAGGATGTCACGACGGAGGAACCTAATAACAGAAACCCACCAGAGAGATGTCCCCGTCCTCTGTATTCCCGGGATCCCACCCAGGAAGATCTCACCGTCCCCCACCATGATCAGGTGGGTGGAGTTGAGGGGCGGGAACATAAAGTGATGGAACGCTCTGACATGTGGAGATGACGTGTGGACTCTACAAGATGAGATCTTCTATGTGATGTCACATCATAAATACTTCTATGTCACAGATGTTTTCTTTCTCATCCGTTGAGGGACACAGGAATTCAGAAACAGTTGGGTTATGCTGCTGTCTACAGGCAAACAGAAAACTTGTAGGCCGGCCCCGTATTTCCTCCTCGACTCAGCATGTGTTTCAGAGAGGCCTCGAAGGTTGGACACCTGATCTTCAGGTCTGCTGGAAGAAGTCCACTATTGTTTTTCCAGCCTTCATTACTTCTGGGATATCTTTCTCTGATGACTTCAATGAAGATTGCTACTTCCCTGCTAGAGCTGGTCTCCGTGTAGCAGTTATCCGGATCAGTGTCTCCTCAGCACTAGTGTTGGAGACCTGGATTGGACGGGTGGAGCTAATCCGAAATCATACCTTCGGGTCCCGCTTCCCAGACTTGAGGGCACTGTGCTCATTGGCCACAGAGGGTTTTCTGGTTCCATGGATAACCTCAGTTGTGACCTCGTCTCTGAAGGCCGGTCAGGTTGAAGCTCCGGGAGATACGTCTCTGATGGGTAGCTGGTATTCCCAAAAGGAACCGGTGCCTGTAATCTGGAACCCGACACTCCTATTGTAAAAGGGTCGTCATCACTGGAGTCTTCCTCAGCTGTAGGGCGAGGTTTAGGGCTCCCCCATGTCCTCGGGGATCTCCATGTCCACTCAGGACTAGGGATGAGATACGAGTTCCACCGAAACCAACCAGTTTTCCTGCATTCCTGGACAGGTGAATGTTTCGGTTGGATCCCATACCTTGGAAGGGGAAGGCAGCAAAGCCACTCGTCCCCCCTGCAAGGCACCTTGTCTCTTCTGATTGGGACAAGGTTCTATTCTCCACATCTGATTCCCCAAGAGGATGTAGGGGTCTGCAAGGGGGGACTTTTTGGAATCTGGAAGCCCCCTTAAGAACAAGGCGGGGCCTAAATATCCAGCCTGACAACGCAATACCCTCCGGGGACCTATTTTCCTGGAGACTTGTCCTATTTTTGGTTCTATTGACCACGTCAAGTCTATTTCTTCCTCTCTGGTAGTCATGAGGTTCCACCGGTTTTAATGGGTTTTGGTTTCAGAACCTCTCGCTGGTTCAGGCCCAGTGTCCTTTCAGGTGGAAACCTTCCCCCTTGGCGGTGGCCTCTTCTATCCTGGTCTGTGCACCAGGTTGATCATCTGTCCCTTGGTTATTGGCAGCTTCCAGGCGGCTTCTTCTTCTCTGGTTCAGATTCAGCTGTACCGACCTCGGCCCCCAACAGAAAACTGAGGCATGCTGGGTAGAGGAAGGGTTATCCGGGGGGGTGGCCTACATTTTGCGGTCATCCTGTGTCTTCCTACTTCTGAATTCCTGCGTTCCTCAATATATACACAAGTACAAGGTTTACAAATGTTTAACTTTCCCTCACAAGGGTGAAGAAGAGGAGACGGAGGAGGATGGAATGATGAGGACATCCACAGAGGAGGACACTTCTACAGAGATCAGCACAGGTGACCCAGAATATATTGTTATCTCTGCTCTGTTACTGCTCACTGATTGGTCCAGAGTAAGGCGGAGCCAAGTGATATCAGCCAGTAATAGGTGATCAGGAGAACTGAGGGAGCAGATGTTCTCTGAGGAGGTCCCAACCTGCTGGGACTCTTCAGTCAAAGGACCTTTGGTTCTCCTCCCGGTCCCCATTGGCTCCGCCTCTTCTGACAAGGCTGTGTCAATGTAGAAGTGATCTGGGAGGAGGAGCAAAGGCCCTTTGACTGAAGAGGGGAGGAGTCTTGGCTGGTTGGGCCCTCCTCATAGAACATCTGCTCCCTCAGACCTCCTGATCCAGATGGAATGTTGAGTGAAGTCATCTAACCCTCTCATATCTCTCCGTCATGTGTTTCTATGTTTCCAGGACACGCCATGGAGGAACCCTCAAAGGATCGTCTGACTTTATCTCCAGGTTGTAAGATGGAAGATGAGGACATCACAGCAGATTGTGCGGGAGAAGAGACAATGAGCTCAGCTATGGATGGTGGACGTCACAGTGTGGGTAGACCATGGACTCCCTCTGACTCTGAGCGACCTCGTCCTGTGGGGGATGGTGCCGGAATTCAGGGGGAGAAGACATTTTCCTGTCCTGAGTGCGGGGAAAGTTTTCTTCATGAATCAGAGCTTGCCATACATTACAGATCCCACAATGAGGAGAAGCCATTTGCTTGTCCCAAGTGCCAGAAATTTTTTCCACGAAGATCAGACCTTGTTAGACATCGGAGATCTCATACAGGGCAGAAGCCCCATTCCTGTGATGAGTGTGGGAAATGTTTTCCAAGAAAGTCAGACCTTGTTATACATCGAAGATCTCACACAGGGGAGAAGCCGTATTCCTGCCAAGAGTGTGGGAAATGTTTTTCCCAGCTGGCCCATCTGTGCAGTCATCAGAGGATTCACACAGGGGAGAAGCCGTATAGCTGTTCTGAGTGTGGGAAAAGTTTTTCACAGAAGTCCAATCTTAAAACACATCAGAGATCTCACACAGGTGAGGAGCTGCATTCCTGTTCTGAGTGCGGGAAAAGCTTTCCTCATAAATCAGAACTCATCATACATTTCAGATCTCACACGGGGGAGAAGCCGTATGCCTGTTCCAAGTGCCAGAAATGTTTTCCACGAAAGTCAGACCTTGTTAGACATCAAAGAGCACACACAGGGGAGAAGCCGTATTCTTGCCATGAGTGTGGGAAATGTTTTACATTGAAATCAGAACTTAACATACATCAAAGATCTCACACGGGGGAGAGGCCGTATTCCTGCTCTGAGTGTGGGAAATGTTATACACGCAAATCACAACTTGTTATACATCAGAGATCTCACACTGGGGAGAAGCCGTATTCCTGCCCTGAATGCGGAAGATGTTTTTCACAGCTGGGCTATCTGTACACACATAAGAGGACTCACAGGGGGGAGAAGCCATATTCTTGTCCTGAGTGTGGAAAATGTTTTTCACGAAAGTCCACTCTTACTGTACATCAGACAATCCACACCCATGAAAAGCTGTATTCCTGCCCTGAGTGCGGGATTTGTTTTCCACAGAGGACCGACCTCTACAGACATCAGAAATTGCACACAGATGAAAAGCCTTATGCTTGTTCCGAGTGCGAGCAATGTTTTCCGTTAAAAACAGAACTTAATATACATCAAAGATCTCACAAAGGGAAGGAGCCGTTCTCCTGTCACGAGTGCGGGAAATGTTTTGCACGGAACTCAGACCTTGTCGTACACCAAAGATCTCACACAGGGGAGAAGCCGTATGCTTGCCACGAGTGTGGGAAACATTTTTCACAGCTGGGCCATCTTTCCAGTCATCAGAGGATTCACACAGGCGAGAAGCCGTATTCCTGTCCTGAGTGCGGGAAAAGTTTTTCAAAGAAGTCGAACCTGAAAACACATCAGAAGTCCCACACAACGCCTGAGGTGTCCGGTGAGCAGGAAATGTCTTCTATATGAATTATATTTTGCCAGACATCAGAGAACCCACACAACCCTGGAGGCGTATTAGTGCCCAGAGTGTGTGGGAAATGTCTTCTAGATGAATCATCAGAGATCTGAAACTGGGAAGAAGCACACCTTGATATACACTTCAAAAAACATGTGGCTGACTTCTCCTCTGAACAGAGTTAACAAAAGACTTCAAAGTTGTGTCTGGCGTCCTCTGCTGGGGGTAGGGGGTGGGGCACTGTTTGAGTGCCTCTAGCCGTGTAGTGTTTGATAAAAGTCGTCTTTGGATTTGTATCATTAAAGCTTCTTTTTTTTTCCCTTTTATTCCTTCTTCTGACTCGTGATGTCTTTCTTACTATTGGGCGGAGTGGAGAAGGAATAGAAGACATGTCCGGTTTTTTATTTCGGTCTTCCTCACTGAGATTCACCCTCTCTATGTGTCCTGGTGAACGTTGTCACCGAGAGTGCAAGAAAATCCCGAATTGTGAGTTGTCACCAGAACAGGATAAGGAGGAGAAAGCTTCCGATGGGGACACTCGGTCTGGGATTGTCCTCAGATCAACAGATTGTGAGGTCACCACATCCCCCTTATTGCCTTAGATCAGGAGTGGGAAAATCTCTGACCCTCCAGCTGTGGTAGAACTTCCAATCCCATCATGCACCTGCCTCTGTGTCTGCCAGAGTCTTGCAATGCCTAATGGGATTTGTAGTTCCACAGCAGCCGAAGGGCCGGAGTTTGCCCGTCCCTGCCCTAGATGGTAATAACATGAGACAACCCCCCCGTTTCCATCAGCAACTCCGACCCTCCAGCTATGCAAGTCCCAACATGCTTCTGGGAGTCCTGCCCGTGGCTATCAGTCTTGCAATGCCTCATGGGACTTGTAGTCCCACAGCAGCTTAGAGGCTTAAAGGGAGAGGCAGAGCTTCTTCACGTCCGTCTATGATGGGGTAAGTAGGTTCTGCATCTGCAGGGCAAAGCTTTTGAGATTCATGGTTTCCCTTCTTTCCGTGGACGGTTATAAATACAGACCAAGTGGGGGACAGTGGCGTCACAAGAGGAGGTGTGGCCTGCACCGGGTGACACCATCAGAGCGGGCGACACTAAAATGAATGAGTCATTTTGGTGTCACCCCCTCATAAAAGTTGTGCACTTGGTTCCGAGAGCCCAACAGCAGCAGGAGAGGGAAGGGGGGGGGGGGGTGCAACAGGCGGCATACCTGATCCCGCCAGGTCAACATAGCCTCCTCTCTTTGCTGGCGTCCATAACCTCCGCTGATGAAGCTTAAGTAAAAATATTCATCCAGTCACCCCCCATGTCCATCTTCCCAATGCCAGCTTGGCGGTTTTCATGGCTCTTCTTCCAGCTCGTGGAGTCTTCCTCTCATTCAGGTAATGGAAAAGATCCGGGACGGCGACTCGCTGGAACTGGTGGGGACACCCTGTGTGGTGTAAATTGATGATGGTGACAACTCAAGTGACCGCTACCCTCTCGGAGAACCCCCACGTCCAATCCAAGTGCCCACGCAATGGCCCATGCGAACCACTTTAGGGTTGCCACCTGTCCCGGATTCAGGTCAGGCCAGCCGAAACCCGGACACGGCACATACAGTACTCAAAACCCGGGCTGTCCAGCTGAATCCGGGACAGGTGGCACTGGCAACCCTAGAACCACCGCCATGCCTCTTTGCAGCCAGTAAGCCTCATGGGAAAAGGACAACCGTAGGGCCCCTCATCTCCTTAGGGTTTAGGATGAGAGGCGGCTGACCCCACGCCATCTTGTGCCAGGAAAGATCCCGTGTGTCACAAAAGCACCTTCACCAGGGAATGTTCACTCACAGGCCTCGTCCTCAACCTGGATCTGGACCTCGAGGACAGCATTGTATAGTGTGGCCCGGTCCTAACACTGAACCAAGGGCCCGGGCAAACTCCGGCCTTCCAGCTCTTGTGAAACTACAAATCCCACGAGGCATTGCAATATTCTCAGAGCCACCGACACGACTCCCAGAAACAGATGCATCATGGGAATTGTAGGTTCACCTCGGCTGGAGAGTCGGAGTTTGCCCGCCTCTGCACTAAACACATATTACCGTACACATATACACACAAAAACATTGCAAAGTCAGAAAATACACACACACGAAACACATAACACACACACAGCATATAACACACACACACGAAACATACAACACACGCAGCGCACACACAGAGTCTCATACACATTTACCTCAGAGCTCTCTCTCTGGTTCCGGAACCTTCTCTCACGTCGGCTGGAGGGCCGGAGTTTGCCCACCTCTGTACTAAACACATATTACCACGCACACAAACCCAGAAAATACACACACGCGACACACATAACATATAACACACACACGAAACACAACACATGCAGCGCACACACAGAGTCTCATACACATTTACCTCAGAGCTCTCTCTCTGGTTCCGGAACCTTCTCTCACGTCGGCTGGAGGGCCGGAGTTTGCCCACCTCTGTACTAAACACATATTACTGCACACACACAAACCCAGGAAATACACACATGCGACACACATAACATATAACACACACACACGAAACACAACACATGCAGCGCACACACAGAGTCTCATACACATTTACCTCAGAGCTCTCTCTGGTTCCGGAACCTTCTCTCAGTGTCCTTCAGTCAGAGGACCCCTATAGTTGCCCCTAGCAGTGCCTGTGCTGAGCCGTCCACGTTCCTGCCTGTGAGGAAGATGTGTGACCACTAATGGGCATCCAGGAGAAGACAAACATCTCCCCTCC